TTTTACTAATTAATAATAAATGGTCAAGAAAATTAATGACTAATTAACATTTTTAGCTTTGGTGGCTCTCCCTCACTGCTTGCAGGAATGAAAAGGTTAGTTCTAAGTACTGCAGCTTTCTCTACTATATGGCAAATTCAAGTAGAATCATAATTTTAATTATAATACAATTTTAAAATAATATGAAAAAATTATAAAAATAATATAACTTAAAATTTAAAAAATTTATATAAATTTAATAAAAATTAAAAATATATTTTGTATTTGATATATTAATATAAATTATAATACGATAATTTTTATATTTTATATATAATTAATTATATACAAATATCACATAAATATATAAATTACCACACCAAAATTAAGAAAATGAAGATCCAATGAAGGCATCTGCATCTTAAGATGACTTTGGAGCAAGTTATCTGCAAACAAAAATATTAATTCTTGACCAACGCCTTTTTCATTAGAAAGTGTAGCCTATGTTGGGAATTTTAAGCAAAAACAAATTTTAAAATGAGATCAATATAAAATAAATCACAAGTAAAAGGTAATATTTAACATAGTTCGGCTCAATTATCTACATCTATGGATGAGAGAGAATTTTACTATAAACGTAAAGATTACAAAGAGTATAAAACATCATAAACAAACATTGATCTTAAGCCTCTAAAACAATTTTAGTTTCAATGCTCCCTAGTGTATAACTTATGGAATATTTTCTATCCCATGCAACCGATATTTTCTCAAACAAACTTAATTACTAAGTAATTTTTTAATTAATAGAATTTTACTGAAATTCAAACTAATTCTCAATTAGAATTTGAGCAAATATCTAACAAATTTTTACTTTGACACAAATTTTACCATCACATTGACTTTCAAGAAATCTCGACTATACATGATCGAATCAGTGCTGACTCCACCTGATTCAAACAAGATGCCCAATATTCATGTGCAGCCAAATCAACTTCACCCGATTGACTCCACTTGTAACTAACGCCTTGTTGCAACTTATCTTCTCTTGCATGTCTCCAATCTTATGAATATATTCTACAATAACAAATCTCTTTCCACAATCGATGTGGAATAACCTCAACAATCTCCCCCTTTCACACATTAGCTCGTAGAGGAGAGCTTTTATGCTCGGCTCATGAGAATATGTGGGCAACCTAACTCGACACTACTTGTTGGGATTTTAAAGTAGAAACAAATTTCATAATGAGATTAATACTAAATAAATCATACACAAGAAGTGATATTTAACATGATTTAACCTAATTGTCTGAATCTATGAATGAGAGAGAAAACTTCACTATAAATGCAAAGATTACAAATAATACAAAATCTCATAAACAAATACTAATCTTAACCCTCTAAAATAATCATTGTATAACTTATAAAATATCTTCTATCCCATGCAATCAATGTTTTCCCAAACAAAATTTTTTTTTATATCCTTACAAACCAATTAAAGATATCAGAACTCTTTCTCATAATTTTAAAAATTAATACTTCTTTATATTTATAAAATTTAATTATTTAATCATCAAAAATTTTTATTAAAACTCTTTCCTATTAAAAATATTTATTTTTAAATAAATATTCAAATCGATTTTTAATTATAATTTAAATCAATATATTAATTTATTAATTGTAAAGACATTAAAAGTTAAAAAAAAAAAAAAAAAGGGTATTGTGAGTGCGTAATGCTTGCAGGAAAATAAACTGATAAGACTTGTGAGTGCAGTAGTGAAAGAAATGTACATCCTTAAAACTACCAGATTTCCAGCAAGTTTTTTTGGATTATAGCAACCCCTTTTTTCCCTCAAAAGAATTGTTCCAGCTAGATATCCGAACTTTTGTTTTTTTAGTTCCTACAACAAGATTCTCTGTTACTCTTTTTGAGTTTTTATTTCTTCATATTTTTTTATTTTTTATATGAGTTTTTTTTTTAAATACAAAAAAAAAAAAAAAGCAACTGCTGTAGCAGAACCGCATTCATTGTTATCATACCAAATGTTTACTACAGCAGAAGCAGTAAAAATACTTCGGCTTTTTGCACAGTGACTCCCACCTCCAAAACAGACCGACTTATAAGCTAGGGCCTGAGGCTGACTCGGATAGCTGTTCCCTACTATCTTTCATCACTCACCGGATAAACCTCAACTTTCTTTTTCATTTTTTTCATTTTTTTTTCTTTCGGTTTACTGATAAATTCCTCCTATTGCCCCATCTTCATAATTGCATAACTGATAACCTTAACACTAACCTGTCACCTTTTTCCTGCCTGTCTTCATAATTGAATTTGTAGATAGTCTAGATTTTTCTTTGCCTTTATTATTTCTTCAGGGTAGTTCAATTTTAGTGGAGAAGATTTTTTTTCGGTTTGGAAAAAGTATAGAATGGAATGAGATTTTTTAATTTTTAATAGATCAAGATAAGATTTGAATAGAAAAAATTTATACTAAATTTATAAATTATTTATTAAAAATTATTAATAATAAGATTCAAATTTAAATTTTATCAATTAAATCAAACTTATTAATATTTTATTAAATAAGATTGAAACCCCAAAATGTAAGACAAACCTTCCCAACAAATTAAAACTTCACCTTCAATGGGACTTATTAATACAAACCAAACCAGAGGAAATCCTCTCTCTGTCTAAACATTCAGTAGTGTCATATTCTTTAGACTTGGCTCAAGTGGTACGTTTATTGAGATTTCCACGAAAATTTTTTCTTTTTTCCTTGATTTAAAATAATGGCGGATTCACTATGTGATTGAAATTTTAAATACGAAAATTTTATGTTTGAATCTTAATGTTCATTTACATTCCAAAAAAGAAAAATCGATTGAGATGAACTCGGATCCTGACCATTTTGGCCTCCAATAAGAATGTGAAAAAATTCACCTTAATGGTTATTATTACTGTACAAATCCTGTCTCTCAACATTTTCAACGGTGTCCTACTCATTTCTTGGGTGTCATTGTTGCTATTATTTTCATGCTAGCAAATATAGGATCCAGTCTGTTCAATTATGTACTCCATCAGGAAGAGAAACCCTCTCCCCAAGCACCCAAGGTTTTAAGTAATTAGCTTGCACTCTAGCACGAAAGGAAATTCCCCCACCACACATCCAAAGCCTTCAATAACTATCTTAATTAATACGATGCTATATTTGCTAGCATGGCAATAATAGCTAATATATGGCACCAAAGAAATTAGCCGGACACTTTTGAAAATGTTAAAAAGAGAAGATTTTTACCGGATCTTCCTAATGCATTTGGATGTAAATTTTTAAAGTTAAATATAATAGGAATTCTCTTTCACCACGTATTCAAAAGAGCCTTCGAGTTTATTCAACTAACAAATCTAATAGGATTTTGATAAAAATCTTTTTTTTCCTCTTAGAAACAAATTCACTTTGTGATTAGAATTTCGATTCCTAGAAATTGACATTTGAATCTTAACGTTCTCTTGCATTCCACAAAAACAAATTCTTTGAGGTGAACTCCAACCCTAAGCATGTTGTCATCCAATAAAGAACATGAAAGTTAAGATAAAAACTAGTAGATGAAGTAATTACAAGTTAGAGAAAACAAGAAACGTGGAATTACTTTCCAAATGTAGAGAGAGGATAAGCAAGAGAATTTGGATAGACATTGGTTGTCAAGTTCCAAACTGAATTAAAGTTGTACATTTCCACCAACAAAAATTAAAAGGGTGCACACTAACTTAAAAGGGAACTATTTGGCAATAGCAACACCTTACCTAATAAATTCAAGATTGCTAAAATAATATAAAATCTCTAAACTTCATCATTTTGCTTAAATAAGTTTTTATACTTTTATTTTATCAAAATTAATTTTTAATTTTTAATTTGCTTTCAAATAAATCATTAATCTTTAATTTAAATTAAAATAAACTCGTAATATTTAATTTATATCTAAATAAATTTTTAATATAAATCAATATTTTCGTTTAAAATAAAAATTTATTTAAATAGAAAGTAAAAAACAAAACTTTATTTGAATATAATAAAAACATAAGAATTTATTTAAAAAATAAAATAGGTTAATTGCTTTTTTAATAATTTAGCCATTGAAGATATTATCAAGTAAAATAAGTAGCTTTCTTTAGTCCTCTTCATTTTATTATTATTATTATTATTATTATTATTATTATTATCCAACTTCATTTTACTATTTATTGAGCCACCCTATTAAATTTGTTTGTAGATTAGACCGCAAAAAATTCACTGTCAATTTATTAAACGATTTTTTTAATTATAAAATGAATTGTGATTCTCTTAGATTTTCTAAAACTCACTTGAACACAGAGAATAGATCACTTTATTTATGTAATTATTTTTAAAAAAAATGATATTTATTAGATTTTGAGTTCAAATGATAACACATGTAATTTTTTTTATTTTAAAATATTTTTATATAAAAATAAACCAAAAAAAAAAAACTAACTCATACATCTTGAAAATTAAACTTAAAATCTCAAATAGTAAAAATATAACTTTTTAATCTAAAAAATAACAAATCATACGTCAATTATTATATTAAATTAAATATTTGGATGTATAATGGGACATGAGAGTAATTTTTGTAAATAATGAAAATTGAGTTCCACTTTGTCTAGACATTAGGGTTTTATTTTACTCCCAATTTTTTTTCTTTATTTTTTTAGACAAAAAGAGAACTAAAATCTCAAGAAAGAAACAATGAGTTCTATCAATCCCATGTCGAGAGGAAGCTAGCTACCAAAATATGCTCAAGTCGATGCTTCAAAAAGATGAAATGGTTGGAACTTTGGAGTTTTTTTCTTAAATATTTTGCCTACGTTTTCTACCTCAAAAACATCACCAAACAAATCCAAATTTTGCAGGCCAGAGGGGAGGGGAATGGAGCAAATGCACGAAATGCCACTCAAATATAACTCTTCCTTGTTAAGAACCATGCTATCCCCATTTATTTAAAAGGAAAAACAAAAAAGATATGCCTTCTAATTTGATCCAACCTTGCAAAATTACAAAGGCTCTCATTAAAAAAGGAAAAAAAAATTCTACCCTACAAAAAAGACAACTAAAAAATTTGACTACAAAGTGAAAAAGAACTAGAATTACACACTTAGATCATGCCTCATTCACTTGTACACTTGCAAGTTTACGAGTCAACTCACTATCATGACTCAGTGGTGGCGAGTTGCCAAGCTGAGGTGGCAATAAGCGGCCTTGTATGCCACCCAAGCGTTAAACACCCGTTATTCTCCTCTACTCTATACCCATCACCGCGAGCAAAGCGAGCCAACAACATGCTAACTAGATTATAAGCATTTGAACCAAAGTGAACTGGGCTGAACCCAGCCGTTTCCATCCGAGTCCTCCATTGAGTCAGCGTCTCGTGTCGTTCAACTCGGTCCATCCCTTCACAAGCAACCACATTACATATCTGCCTTCCCAAATACAACTCGGACATAACCAGGTCTTGATTCGGTGGTGCCACCCCTGAGCCTTCTAACGAGTCAAAAAGACTGGAATAATAATGTAAAGCTTCGGTAAACCGCTCTAAGAAAATCGGGCCGTTGTGATTAGCTTCTTGCTCTACAGCCGTAAGAATTTTGGGCTTCAAGGCCTTGATCGAAGACAGAACTTTTTCGATCCCGCCAGGTCGAGCCAGCAGACGGTGAAGCTCAAAAACAGAATTCACCGCCACTGCGTCGACCTCGGCAGTGCGGATCTCGAGCATTTCAGGCTCAAGATCCGCCAAACTATTGGCGACAAGACCCCTGAACTTAAATTTGACGCCAATAGTTTCTGCAAATTGATGTAACTTCCGGCCCACTTGCTGCAAAGCATCAGTATTATCCGGCTGAGGCGGGCCAATTCCTGTTAATAGAAAAGCCGGTGGCCCGCCAGGCCTTAATGCAAGAGCTTGTATTAAAGCCGGCCACTGCATCCCCTGTTTTAATCCGAAATCAATAACATGAACTGTGTTAGCCGTTGCGAAAGCTTCCAGGATAGCTTGATTGGCTGTAAAATGAGCAAATTTCAAGTAGGGGCAAGTTTCGTAGAAGTGCATCTGCAGAATATCAGTGGAAGATGGGTCGAGAGAGTCTTGTGGGTAAATCCTGTAGATTCTCCGAGCTAAGGCTTCAGCAAAATAGGTAGCAACTTTTCTCATGGCACCAGCTTGAGACACAGCGAGTAAGCCTATATGATTGACTAAAGCATCAGCCAGCTTGAGATTATCTTGTTGGACAGCTTCAGCACAAGCCATTAAGGTGTGAACCAGTCGAACCCCAGTTTCCTGTGAGTCAATCAAAACAACAGGGCGAGTCGATGACTCGGTTACAGCACCTGAAACTCCAATCCCTTGTGGTGATGAAGAAGATGAGCCATATCCAGTGGATCCAGATGAACCAATTGAAGTTTTCATTCGTTTCCGGGTACTTTCCGAATCTGATTCAGATTTTGGAGGTGGGTAAGCAGCAATCCCTGGAATTGCCCTGAGATCGTACTCGGAATCATCATTATAAACCTGAGATTGAATACTGCTAACAATTTGTTGCTGATGCTGTGGCTTTGAATGACCTGAGTGATTTATCTGACCAAGGATGGAAGAATTGGAATCCGAATTTGCCATAACAGGATCAAGATTTTCCGTTGCTGGATTATTTAACTCAGTCAACATGCTTTGAACCCAACCAGAAAGATCGGAAGGATTGTAATGAATAGTGTCACTAGAAAGATGTGAAATTCCATCTTCTTGTGCGGTTCCCATAACCATTTCCAACTGTTCCAGTTTTTGAGCCACATCGGCCATGTCCGAAGACCGAACTTTGTAACCCAAAACGGCCAATAGCTCGTCCATCCCGCCGGCATCTTGATCTTCTTCCCATATTTTTCCTCTGTTAGTATTACCAATGCTTGAACTCTCAGCCTTTGAGCCACTCCCACTGCCACAGCCAGTGGCTCCACAGATTTCCTGGTGCTTTCTCTTCATTGTTGTTTTTGGAGAGTATGGAATGAAAAACCAAGGCTAGAATTTGGTCATGGCAGTGAATCGGGGTTTTGGTTTTCTGGAATTTCAGCTCAAATTTTAGGATTAAAAAGGATGAAAGAAAAGAGAGAGAAAGGAAGTAGTGGGGAAATGGGTGGGAGGTCTAATGGAAGAAACAGGAGGGGACTGGAGAGAAGAAGAGATAAGCAACAATGTAGGCCATAAGAATGGAATCTTTTTTTGCTTTTATTTTATTTTCTTTTTATGTTTTAAAGGTCTTTTTTTTAATAAACAGAAAAAATAATCCTGTTAAAAGTCTTGGTTGATTTAATTTAGTAATTATTTTCCTTGATTTTTTTTTTGTTATCAATTGCACTTCTTCGTATTTATGTTGTATTTTTTCTGGAAGAGGATTAATTTATGTTATTGTAAATTTTTTTAGTTTTATTTTTTTAATTATTAATTTTAATAAATTCGAGTGATAAATTAAAAAAATAATTTAGTCTGATGTTTTGTATGAATTAAAATAAATAATTAAAAATGTGTAAAATTTTTTGATTTTATATTAGTGTAAATTGATTTTTTTATTTTGTATATTTTTATTTTACATAATTGAAGAAAAAATTAATTTGAATATATTTTTTATTAAAATTCAAAATTTTCCATAAAATTAATTATTCCAAAATTTTTAAATCTAAAAAATTATGCAAAATAAATTTAGAATATAAAATAATAAGATTTTTATATTTTTTTATTATCAAGAGTTTTTAAATGTTAAAAAAAAAAAGATATTCTGAAATATTAAAAAAAAATAGACAACAAAAGAAAAGGACGTGGGGAATAACAAGTTAAAAAATCTTGTTAATAAACAAGAAAAATGTTGATTGGTGTTTATTGATATTTTTAAGATAATATTTATAAAATAATTTGTAATTTTGAATTTTAACAAAAATAATAACATTAAATTTAAAAAATAAATATATTTAATTAATTATAATTATTATTTTGTAAACATCTATTGGTCGGATTCAATTAACAGTTTGACCTCCCTCGAAAATAAAACATGATTTGAAGTGTTCAAAATTTTCTCTTCATTATACTCCTCGTATTCTTATAAATAATTCCTATTAACCTGAATTTTTTTAAAAATAAATTTATATATTAAAAATTTTATTAGATATATATAATTTATATATTTATATTATATTTATTTCATATAAATATATACATAAAATAAAAATTATTATATTATTATTAATATTTATAGTTAAAAATAAAATTTATTTTTATTTTTATCATAAATTTTCTTAAACTTTTAATTTTTGTCCTTTTTATCATTTAAAATTTTATGTCTCAAATTTATGAAAATTTAGATATTGGAGATCTTGTAAGTAATTTAAAAAGAAAAAAAAATAATAAAAGAAGAGTCGTAGCAGCACCGCAATACTAGAAAAGAAATGAAAGGGAAAGAAAGGGCTATTATGATAGTGTACAGCTGGTGTATAAGAAGTATGACCATTGAACCAACTCTTCTTCTCCAGTCTCCATACAAATACATTTCATAAAGGAACAGCTGGCCGTACGCTAAAATCAAATTGCTGATATATTGAGTTTTTAAGACCGTGAGCTCCACTTGTTTATTCGGTTATTCCTCGGTCTTTGTCAACTCATCTCTATTATGCCCGTGTCACGCACGCTCTCCTTCGTCAACATTATTAATAAAAAATAAATAAAAATTTCTAACTACAGTACTGAATTCTTATTATATTTAAATTTTATTATTAAATTTTTAATTTGTTTATTTTTTAATAAAAATTTGTCACTTGTATTTAAAAATAAAAAAATTAGATACAATAGAAAATGCTAATAAAATTAAAATATAATAACAAAACTCAATATTGAATTATGACATAAAATAAATTTGACCTTAATCTCAATTTATATGATCAAAATATTATATTTTAATTAATCATTTGAAAGGTAAAGTTTGAAAAAGGTGTACAATTCAAAAGGTATATATTATTCTATGCAAATAATACCTTTTTTAAGCTTACATTCTTTATGATTGAAAGACCAAGGTACATGCATTTAATGGGCAATTTCTTTACCTTTTACTATACTGTGGAATTTTTTTTTCTGTGTGATTGATTAAGCTATACTTTTACTATTCATCTTGAATTGATTTTTAATTTTTCAGTTGAAATTTACTTTTGAAAGTCAATTACATAAAGTTTTATGGGATTATCTAATTTGTTACTCTTTTTAAAGAGATTAGTGTGTGACCCGACCCGATTACATTCGAGATAAAATATTTTTATTTTAAAATATAAATTATTAAAATTTTTTGCTTTAATAAAAAATATATTTATTTAAATCATTTGAGGATCTAAATTTGATTCATTTTAACAAAAATGTAATAATTAATGGATAATATATCTATATTTTTTCAATTATTTTAATTATTTGAAATCAAATTTTATTTAATAGTGTTTTTGTTATATTATTTAATTATTTAAAAAAACTATTGTTTTTTATTTTTTAAATGATTATTTTTATTGTTAAATTTATGTAAATTATTTTTTAATCTTACCTTTTTTTACAAATTAATAATTAATAAATTTAATTTAAACTCAAAATTAAAAATTACATAAATAAAAAATGAGTTACCAAGTATTTAAATTTAAATTATTATTGTTTAGCCTAAATTTATTAAGCTCAAAACTTATCCAATTGGTCAAATCTAATAGGGCTGATGCTTTTATTTATTTTCAATTTGTTTTGCTTTTTAAATACCCAAACTACTCGTTTTAACCATTTCAATAACCTATCAAAAGTCTAGGCTAAATACTCAATGTAAAATTAAATATTTGAATTATTACTTAATTCAGAATTAAATATTTTATTTTATATAAATAAAAATTAAATATTATTAATTTATAAAAATATAAAAATTTTATTAACAAAAATTTTACAGTGAAAAACACCTATCATAATAACGCGTAATAAAAGTAAATACGTTGACTTAGTATTTGATACTTGTATGTCACTCAACACCCAAGAAAAAAGTCAAAATAATAATTAAAAAAGTTAATTTCATAAAAACACAAACTTTTCTACTTTTTTTCCTTTTTTTTTAGCTTCAAATTTTTCTTCCTTCAACACAGTATCCCTTCAATTATGGAGCACGGATATGCAAAAGGTTGTTCATCTTCCTTTCTCTTTCAATTTTTTTTCTTTTCTCTATTCAACTCCTTTTCTGGTCATATTTATTTTCTTTCTCTAACTATAATCTTCCTTTACTTCTAATAGTTTTATTCCTAATACAAAATTTTGTGTGCTTTAATTGTGTATTTTTTTATAGGACCGACAATGAATTAGATCGAGATAAATTTTTACTCGCTCTGAATCCAACTCGATTTTATAATCATAAAATTTGAATCAGATTTAATTTTACTTGAATTCAATTTGACCTGATATTATATAAATTGTATCCGATCCGATAAAAAATTAATAAAATATTATTTTTTTAAATATAAAATATTATTTTTTAGATATAAATATATAAATATATATAAATTAAAAATTAAAAAATAATTTTTTATATAATACTGAATTAAGTTTGCCAAAAACCTGAATTCAACTCGAATCTAATTTTTCTTTAATAATATACCCGATTCAATCCAAAATTCGATTTTCAAAAAATAAAAAATTAAACCTATAGAGTCGGGTTGAGTCAAGTCGAAATCCACCGGTTGCGAGTTGAGTTGTCAACCTTATTTTTTGATATCATGTATTTTATAGTCTAGTTTTATGATTTTTTTGGTTTAAAGTAACAGTGGGTAATAAAAATCTAATGGTTGTAAACCAAAAACATCAAACGAACCAAAATTCTCACTACCATTTGGCCCTTCTTGTTATAGTCGTTCCTATTGATATCCATCTCCATGCGAACACCCAACTCTGTCTCTCCCTTTCTCTCTCTCTCTTTTATTGCTTTCTTGCTAATTGGTTTTCTTGGTTTTGAAAAAGCTACGTACTGTATTTACTATAAAAGGTGGTTTCGTTACCTTACCGCTTATTAATGTAACAACTTTTTCCTTTCTTTTTTCTTGTAGGGTGATTTTGAAAATTGAAGAGCTTTCATACAATTGGGTATTCGATTTTAGTTAGAGACAATGAGAGTTTTTTCATTGTTTTTGAACACAAGCTGTACCAACTTTGGTTTTTTTCTGAAAAAATTTTTTCACCTTTTCTCTTTCATTAATGGCTCAAGTTAATATCTTGAAGGCTTTTTTTATGACTTTGGTCGTGACATTTTTAAGCCCCATATGTTTTTATTTTTTGTTTCATTCTTTGTTTATTGGATAATTGAAATGAAATTGATTCTTTGAAAATATTAATTCACTAAAACCAACCAAAACCCCAAAAAAATATCTAACAAAAAATCCAAAACCTAGAAATCAACACTAAGCATAGAGCTTCATAGAAAAAAATTCCTGATCATGCCATTTCATTTCATCCAATCAATGAAACTTGCCACCATCTTGTCTCCCGTTAAAACCTTTATCTTTGTCTTTTTTAAAGCTGCCTTCACATTGCGTAATTCCATCTTAATTTTAATGTTGGAATCTTCTTCTTCAAGCTTCTAGAAGTTATTTTCCATAAGGTTTCTATTCTAGTTGGATGATGATGCACATAAAGTTGGCTTAGGTAGCAATGATCTTGCGGATGGGTTGAGATTTGGAGAGGAAAAGGGTTTCATTAGGTGAAAGAATGAGGATTAGTCTTTGAAGATGTGTTTGGATTTTTTTGGATATAAGTGGGTTATTGCTCGACTCTGATTTGTTCGAGTTGTTAGGATGGTGGCCATAGAGAATTTGAAAGATTAGAGAAAGATGGGTGTGAGAAAAAATTGATGAGAGAAGAACAGATAGAGAGAAAGGAAAATAAAATAAAAGTTAAAAGTTAAATTTTCATTTAATTTTATTTTAAAAATTTTTTATGAGTTTAGTAACCAAATTTGACTTTTTTTTGCCAACTCAGCAATAAATTTGATTATTTTTTCAATTGTAAAAATTTAACGTGTGTCATTCATAACTTTGTTTTTATTTAAAAAAATTTTAAATTATTATAAATCAATAAGGTTTAATTTTTATTCATATAAAATAAACGTTTAATCTTAAATTAAATAATCTTTTAAATGTTTAATTATAAATTAAGCATTTAACCTAAACTCTAT